ATACAGCCATGGGCCGGCTATAATATACCTGAGTATTGCAACCATATAATATCAGCAGGGCCTGTTACAGGAGCCCAAGGTCTTACTTAGTATTCTAATAGCCCACAGGAGGCTGCAGCAATGACACCCATCTGGCTCTAATATCGTAGGTGCAGGGCTGCAATACAAGATAACCGAGACCTGCCCTGTTTTCACACGGTAGGTCTGATGCCTGTCTTTTTATTTTTTTGCTTTGAGATAGGGTCTGACTCTGTCACCCAGGCTGGAGTGCAGTGGTGTCATCCTAGCCTGCTATAGATTCAGACCTCTGGGCTTAAGTGATCCTCCTGCCTCAGCCTCCTGAATAGCTGGGACTACAGACCCATCTGAATTTTTTTTTTTTTTTTTTTTGGAGATGGGGTCTCACTCTGTCACCCAGGCTGCAGTGCAGTGGCATGATTCGTCTCACTGCAACCTCCGCCTCCTGGGTTCAAGCGATTCTCCTGCCTCAGCCTCCTGAATAGCTGGGACTACCACGTCTGGCTAATGTTAATATTTATAGTAGAGATGGTGTTTCACCATATTGACCAGGCTGGTTTCGAACTCCTGACCTCGTGATCTGCCTTGGCCTCCCAAAGTGCTGGGATTACAGGTATGAGCCACCGCGCCTGGCCTAATTATTATTATTATTATTGTTTTAGTAGAGACAGGAGTCTCCCTATGTTGCTCAGGCTGGTCTCTAACTTCTGGCTCAAGCGATCCTCCTGCCCTGGCTTCCCTAAGTATTGGGATTACAGGTGTGAGCCATAGCACCTGGCCTGACCGCTATCATTATAAACCCAGAACCCTACTATAAAAGCTAACTTTCCGGCCGGGCGCGGTGGCTCAAGCCTGTAATCCCAGCACTTTGGGAGGCCGAGACGGGCGGATCACGAGGTCAGGAGATCGAGACCATCCTGGCTAACACGGCGAAACCCCGTCTCTACTAAAAACACAAAAAATTAGCCGGGCGAGGTGGCGGCGCCTGTGGTCCCAGCTACTCGGGAGGCTGAGGCAGGAAATGGCGTGAACCCGGGAGGCGGAGCTTGCAGTGAGCTGAGATCTGGCCACTGCACTCCAGCCTAGGCGACAGAGCGAGACTCCGTCTCAAAAAAAAAAAAAAAAAAAAAGCTAACTTTCCTGTGAAAAGGCAATGCCATTGGGGCCCCCTATAGATATTCGACAGAATATTCTAGAAACATGCTAAAACAGACTCAACATCCCGTGACAAACTACCAGGGCTTGCTGTAATGGAGCCAGGATTCTGCAATCATACAATAAATATTAAAACAAAAACCATAGGTCCATTACAGCAAGGGCTGCCTGCCAGAGGCCCTGGTCCTTAAGCCTGACCAAGGGGCCTCAGGGGATGCTGTAACATGACACTATGGGGCCTTTCTCCAACAGCAGGCTGAGGGCCCCCCGCATTGTTACTTTCCAGTGTACACTTAATCAGGACGGTTCTATCCCATTATCACACATGAGCATTGTTTTTTTTTTTTTGAGACTGAGTCGCCCTCTGTTGCCCAGGTGGAGTGCAATCTCGGCTCACTGCAACCTCCACCTCCCGGGTTCAAGTGATTCTCCTGCCTCAGCCTCCTGAGTAGCTGGGACTACAGGTGCACGCTATCACACCGGCTAACTTTTGTATTTTTAGCAGAGACATGGTTTCGCCACATTGGCCAGGGTGGTCTTAAACTCCTGACCTCAAGTAATCCGCCTGCCTCGACCTTATGAAGTGCTGGGATTACAGCCATGAGCCACGGGACCCGGCACACATGAGCATATTGATCCTCCCAATAGGGCAGGGAGGCAAGAAGCCATTTAACAGATTAGGAAACTGAGGCTCTGTGGTGGAGGAGTGGGTCTCTTTTCCAAGGCCCACACGGCCAGGGAGCTGCAGGGCCAGAAGTTGGAACAGAGCCTCGGTGGGGTCTCTGTTGCATCTGGGGCCTCTGGCTCAGCTTTACTGCTTCCAGTTATTCAGCCCCTGAAGCCTAGGGGTCAAGGTCCGCCCAGTGAAAATGTGGCAACTTCACATCATTAATTCCCTTCACGACCATCCATTTTTCCATCAATCAGGAAGGACGCTGGTGTTGAGGCGGACGTACGTTATCAAGGACAGTAACCACCATGGCTTCTGAAGTTTTGCCAAAACCTCAGATGCGTGGCCTTCTGGCCAAGCATCTGTGACTTCATATTGTTGAAGCATTATGGTATTCCTGGGGGCTGCAGCTTTCTATACGTTTGCTGTAGCTGAACCAAAAAAGAAGGCATATGCAGATTTCTACAGAAATGATGATTCCATGAAAGATTTTGAGATGAGGAAGGCTGGTGTGTATATATATATATATATATGTGTGTATATATATATATATATATATATTTTTTTTTTTTTTTTTTTTTTTTTTTTGAGATGAAGTCTCACTATGCTGCACAGACTAGAGTGCAGTGGTGCGATCTCAGCTCACTGCAACCTCTACTGCCCGGGTTCAAGTGATTTTCCTGCCTCAACCTACGGAGTAGCTGGGATTAAAGGTGCCTGCCACCATGCCCAGCTAATTTTTGTAGAGATGGGGTTTCACCATCTTGGTCAGGCTGGTCTTGAACTCCTGACCTCGTGATCCACCCACCTTGGCCTCCCAAAGTGCTGGGATTACAAGCATGAGACACTGCACCTGGCCGGAAGGCTGGTATCTTTCAGAGTGCAATTATCTTGGAATATAAAGAATTTCTTCAGGTTGAATTACTTAGAAGTTTGTCACTGACTTGTTCCTGAACTATGACACACGAATATTTGGGCTAAGAAATAGTTTCTCTTGGCCGGGCATGGTGGCTCACGCCTGTAATCCCAGCACTTTGGGAGGCCAACACAGGTGGATCATGAGGTCAGGAGTTTGAGACTAGCCTGGCCAACATGGTGAAACATTTACTAAAATTTTCTCTACTAAAAATTTAAAAATTAGCTTGGTGTGGTGGCGACGTCTGTAAACCCAGCTACTCAGGAGATGGAGGCAGGAGAATGGCCTTTAACCTGGGAGGCGGAGGTTGCGATGAGCCAAGATTTGTGCCATTGCACTCCAGCCTGGGCGACAGAGCAAGATTCTGCCTCAAAAACAAAATAAAATTTAAAATGAAAAGACCTATAGTCCTTATCCCCACTCTTCAGGTGCAAGGCCTGTCGAGGGGTTCCAGGGGGTTCTTTTAAACTTGGTCTTTGCATCCACCAGGCCCAGCAGAGGTCCCTCCCCAGCACACACTGTGACCCAGCACACAACCTGACGCAATGGGGTGCCAAGGAGACGCCCCAACAATCGAGGAGGAAACCAGGGAGCCGGGCTGTTGTTGTAAACACAGCCGCCCCACCCGAACGGAAACACTGCGGCCGAGGGGAGGGGGCCGTGACCTCCCATCCCCCTCTGGGTCTCCGTCCCTCCCTCTGGAGTCCACACTCCCCCTTTGCCCCTCTCTGGATCTCTACTGCCCCCAGCATAGGGTGGGGTGGGTGTGCAGTTTCTGCGACTCAGGGCGGCGTCCCCCAACCTGTCCTGCCCTTCCTGCCTCTTTGATGCGGCCCACTTCCTCTGGCAGGAACCCCCGCTCCCTGGACCTGGGTATAAGGCAGGGACTGGCCCACGGGGAGAAGGCGTCCCGAGACAGCAGCGGCAGCGGCGGCTCTCTCCCCATGGCCCTGTCTCCCAACCCTTGTACCAGTGCTGGGCTCAACCCTGGTAAGGCCTGGGGGACAGGGACTGGGACCCGGCACGGCAGGCCCGAAAGAGGTCAGCAAGTATTCAGACCTCCCTTCCCTGTACCCCCATCTCTGCTGCTGCTTTGATGCAGGTCTCTCCCCTTTGGGTCCCACAGACCTCTGGTGTGCTCCTGCTTGCTGCCCCCACGACCCCACACCTGTCATCCCACCTCTGTGATGCGCAAAGTGCACCTGTTTCTATCGTACCTGCCTCTCCCGGTGGTCTCTGTGCTCTCCCCGTCTGCAAACCCTTCCTCCCCATGTGCCACACCCTGGGCCACCGTGTCTGTCCCGCCCTGTTCCTCCCAAGGCCCCCACTCTGTGGCCCCTGGGTGTTGGGCATCTCCGGGCGCTTCTACTCACTCTTCCCAGCAGCCTGGGCCCCGGTGCCACTGTGCGGGCTCCAGGGCAGCGTCATGATGCCACTTGGCCCACACCACCAATCCTTACTTCGATTTTGAGACAGCCGGTGCAAAGGAAGTTTCTAGAATCTGAGATCTGGAACTCAGCTACTCACTGGGACTCCAGGTGGAGGACTTGGCCTTCCCAGGTACTTTCCTCATATGCAAATGGCATGGTGCCCAACTAGGAGTGGGTGGTGGGTGCATGGGGCCCCCTCCTTGGCTATAAGCAAGGATAGGAAGCCCAGGCTTAAGTCAAGAGCTTTACAGTTCACAGCCAGACAACAGGGACTCAGCACATCGCACTCTACTTGGGTGAGCCATGCCCACAGCAGCGGGCTGCAGCTTCCCCTCATCCCCACCCGAGGTGGTCAGGAAAGAGACAGACCAGGGCCTGGAGGACCCAGGGGCCTCCGCCCTCACTCACTTCCTCCCAGAGACCGGAGGGGGCGGGAGGACAGCACACCAGGTAATCACCCTTATTCAGGACACCAAAAAGGTGACGCGGGAGGACAGCACACCAGGTAATCAGCTTATTCAGACACCGAAAAGGTGACAAGGACAAAAAAGGAGACTCAGGGGAAGACAGGTATCTCAGGCTCCACTGTCCTCACCCACAGACACGGGCAGGAGGCCTGACAGCAGCCTTGCTCAATTCCCCGAGGGACACCCCATCCCCTAGTGCTCTGGTAAAGGCACAGAGATCCCAAAGTCTGGCCTGGGATGAGAAAAAACTTTATTTCATTGTGGGAGCGGGCCGATGTCCAGCCTCAGAACTTTGGAACTGCTTCTTGGTGCCGGCAGCCTTGGTGACCTTGAGCCACGTTGAAGCGCACTGTCTTGCTCAGGGGCCGACACTCACCCACTGTGACGATGTCACCGATCTGGACGTCCCTGTGGAGCAGGTAAGGCCATGTCTCAGGAGGGGCACCCCGGCGGACCCCAGAGGCCCTCCCTCCCCTTCGCCAGGCTGAAGGCCTCTCTGCTTTGGCTCCACCAAACCTAACCGAGAATCTATTTGCCAATTCAACCTCCCTCTATTCTTTGGTACAAACTTTGTGCCAAGTACCAAGCTCAACGCTGTACACAGAGCAGGCGACCACCCTTCTAAGGACTGCTGGGGTGGACGAGCTCCATTTCACAAACTGGAGGCCCCCAGGTTGTCAGTGGCCTCCTCACCACCCCACTCCAGCAGAGCAGCAGGGGGATCCTGTAGCACCCACGACCACAGGCCCCTTACCGCTCAGCATCAGTTCGGGCCACCCTCATCCCTGCCCACAGGACTTCTCACCTTGCTCCCAAGATCCTCCCGCCCAGAGGGCCACCATTATCAGCTGCCCACATCCCCACCCTCATTGTACCTGGCTGACATCTGGCACCCACCCTGCCTGAAGGTGCCCTCTGAGGAAGCAGGACTTTGTCCCTGGCTCACCACTGAACCCCCAGCATCTCACACCAAACTTGGCACGTGATAAGCTCTAAATAAAACACGCTGAGGGAATGAACAAACGTTTAATTCCAACATTTCTGAGGTTCCCATCTGGTGTAACCTTTTGGTTCCAAGGCACCTGTCTATTACAGGTTCAGCACCCCTAATCCAAAAATTCTGAAATGCTGCAAAATCTGAATTTTGTGTGTGTGTCTGGGAGAGACAGGGTCTTACTCTGTTGCCCAGGCTGGAGAGTAGTGGTGCCATCTCGGCTCACTGCAGCCTCCAGTTTCTGGGCTCAAGCAATCCTCCCACCCCAGCCTCCTGAAGACCTAGGACTACAGCACATGCTACCACACCTGGCAAACTTTTGTATTTTCTAGTGGGTTTTGCCATGTGCCCAGGCTGGTCTCAAACTCCTGGGCTCAAGGGATCCTCTTGCCTCAGCCTCCTACAGTGCTAGGATGACTGGCTTGAGCCCGGTGCCCAGCTAAAATCAGACATTTTTTGCGTACCAGCATGACACCTTTGCTTTCCCATGGTTCAATGTATGCAAACTTTGTTTCACACACAGAATTATAAAAGGTACTGCGTAAGATTACTTTCAGGCTGTGTGAGTAAGATGGACATGAAACAAATGAGCTTCGTGTTTAGACCTACGTCATATGTCACATTCCCAAAACATCTCATTATGCATATGAGAACATTCCAAAATCTGGTCCCAAGCGTTTCAAACAGAGATATTCAACCTGTGGAACACTTTGATTCTGAAGAACATATAATATGGAAATCCTGAGACTCTGGGGCTTCCCAGAGATGCCACCTCAGTCACCCACTCCCTCAGTTGGCCTTAAATTGGCCTGAGCAACCTGATGGGCCACCGTGCTCACCTGAAGCAGGGGACAGGTGCACAGACATGTTCTTGTGGCGCTTCTCGAAGCGGTTGTACTTGCGGATGTAGTGGAGGTAGTCTCGGCGGATGACAATGGTCCTCTGCATCTTCATCTTCGTCACCACACCTAGGAGCAGGGGCAGATCCTAGGTCAAGTCCCATGGGAAAGAGGGCCATGGGTAACCTGGGGCATGCTGGGAGTCAGCAGCAGCTGAGCAGGAATCCCAAGAAGCCCTGTTTCCGGCATCAGTTTTAACCAAGTGGCTTTCTCAGCAGTGCCCACGTGGGCATCTGAAGACCATCGTGAAAACCGACATCATCTGCCAATGCCCCTGCCTGTACCCACAAGTTTGCATTCCCAACCACCTCTCTCACCCAGGACCCAGGAGTCTGGGCCCCAAGCCCCTTCTTTCAGTATTTCAGGCCCCAGACACCAAGAACTCCCGCACTTACCAGAGAGGATCCGCCCTCGAATGGAGACATTACCAGTGAAGGGGCATTTCTTGTCAATGTAAGTGCCCTCAATAGCCTGAACGGATAGGAAAGAGAAAAGAGTGAGCCTTGGGCAGGCGGTTCCTGAAAAGAGCCGGGGGCGTGGCCCCAGGGAAGCGAACTACAATTCCCATCAGCCCCGGGACCGGCCACTCAGACGCAACTCGATGTGGGCACACGTGCAGGGACGCCACGGTCCCTTCTTTCTTCTGAGGTTCCCCGCACCTCTTTGGGTGTCTTGAAGCCCAGACCGATGTTCTTGTAGTACCGCGGGAGCTTCTCCTTGCCAGTTTCTCCCAGCAGGACCCTCTTCTTGTTTTGAAAGATGGTCGGCTGCTTTTGGTAGGCACGCTCAGTCTACAGGTATGAGAAAACTGATGAGCTGCTAAGTTTGCAGCCGGCAGCAACCAGCCCTAGAGACCTTCCCAGAACCTCCCAGACCCCATTCTCTACATTTACTTGCAAAGCGCTGGCTCCAAGGCCTGGTGCCCCAGAATCACCCTCTAAGACACGACCACCCCGACCTTACCTGTAATTCATACTCAGATCTAAGCCCGAGGTTATTTCAATTTATATACTCCAGAAGGCCTCCCAGGGCTTGCAAAATTCATCCTCTAAACCAGGACCACCCCTCTCACACCCTGGACATCTTTCAGCGAGGATCACTCTCCAAGACCCAAGGTCGCCCACCCAGGATTCACTCCTTATGTGGTACATAAAAACTCAGAATTAAATACCAAACGGCAGGCTCCTTGGATTCGCCCTTAGGAGTCCTTTTCCATAGAATTAACCCTTAAGACCGGAAAACTCCAAGAAAACCTTCTTAAACTTGGTTTTTAAGAAGGTTAAGTCCTAAAACGCTTGAGCCTCCATTAACGCCCGGAGCCCCCAGGAATTAGGAAGCACTCGTCTAGAAACAGGCAAAAGCATGCGCCCTCCGCCCCAGCTAATCTCTGGAAAATAATCACGGACGCCCGGAATTAACCCCCGAACTTGGGCGCCCGGCTCTGCCCTCCCGGATACGCCCCTGAAGGCCAGGGCGGACCCTGCAGCCTGACACCAAGCCTCGAGCCCACACCTGAATGTCCGCCATCTTCCCGGCCGGCCTGAAAAAAGAAAGCGGCAGTGGCGTCCGGGCTTCCTTATCGACTACGCAGGGGCTGGAGAGGAACTTACGTAAGGAGCGGCGTACACGGCCTTGGGCGGGGCCTCGAGCGCGACTCTGATTGACAGGCTGCACTTCGACCAGCAGGCGGTTCGGGACCGTGAAGGACTGACGGGCGGGAAGTGGTGGATACTGTC